CAAAAAGAAAGGAGGGGAAAGGCTATGCATGCCATCTGGTGGGGATAAAAGATAATGTTGTCAAGGACCCAACTGTGGTCCTCAGCATCCCCTAAACCCTATCTCATTGCCAATTTTTTCCTTCACGATTTCCTCCTCGTAGGCTCCCAAATAGCAAGTCATTGCCTAGAAGCGTCTAAAGCAGTGGTCCCCAAACTGTGCTCTTTAAGGGATTTTGGACTTCAGCTCCCAGAATCCCAGACTATTAGCCGTACTCTTAAAGGGCACAGTTTGGGGACTACTGGTCTAAAGGATTGGATGTTCCATTTTAAGGTTAACTGAGGTAGGCCAAGATCCTTTTGTAGCCTTAAGTAGCCTTGTAGCAAACCCAGTATTGAAAAGAATTGGGCAGATGCAATCCATGAGGGTTTAGGATGGCTCTTGAAAACACAGTGGGTGTGGTCCCCAGACTATACGGAGCTGCCCAACCCACAGAATAGTTTCCTCTTATCAAATAAGTCTGGAAAGGCACTGGCTAATAACAGCTACATAAAACTTGCTCTGAAAATATAGAATACAGTGTCCCAAATGCTTGCAACCTGCTCACAGAACCATACAGCTGAAACTGCTAGCAAGGCAGAATGCCTCCTTACCTCACATGTGCTCGCCCCTCAGACAGCCTGAACCCATTGCTGTGGAGATGGATGCCATTTGACACTCCATTAGTTGATGTTTTTCCGTTCTGTACCTCTGAGAGTCATAAGAGACAAATCAAGTGCAAGTCAAAAACAGATTTACAAATACCATGTGTGCCCCTGACCTCTCAGTTTAATGGATCTACCACACTAGAAGACCAAGAGTTAAAACATCAGATACTAACCCATCCTGACCCTCCAGGCATCCAATACTACCTCTAATTTAGAAAGCAGCTCATATCCACCATTGGTGTAATTCTTGAAAAAAATTCTGGCAAGGCAATTCTATACACTTGTCCTCATATTGCAGGTGCTGGGTTCAAATCTGTGTGGCTGTCCTGAGGCTACTTAGTAGGTTTACTCCAGGAACAAGATTTTAAGTAGCACTACCCAGTTCACAGCTTACTCTTAACCACTTAGTGTTTTTGGACCATTGATTTTCACAGCCCACTACAATACATACTGTGTAACATAAAAGACTGCATTCCATCACCAGAATATGCAAGCATGGCCAGTAGACCTAGACACATGCACTGCTATAACCTACTATTATAATCTATAATCCTAGGTATGGTGCAGGCATGATATGTGTGTGCACGCACATACTCCAAACATGAGTTGAAGAGGTCTGACAAGCATTCAAGCCATCCAGGCATCACATCCATGCATTTGCACTAAGGATTAACATGCTGTGGGAAAACAAAAATACTAGAAGAAAACAGGGAAAAAGGAAGATCACATTACAGGTAGATAGACTCAGTCAAGGAAGCTGAGTCTCCAAGACCTGAGCAAGGCTGTTGATAACAGGGTGACTTGGAGGCCTCTCATTCATTGTGTCACCGTAAGTCAACTTGATGGCAACTAACAACAACAGACTGTTGGCCAGGAAGAGAATGAGCAGCGCACCAAAGCCCATTGTTTACAATTGTTTGTTCAGAGCTGTAATGATAGCACACTTCTCAATCACTCTGGGGCTACATGTCAGTGATGAGACAGACAACAAGCATGCCTCCAAACGCCTCTTCAGCAGGCTAGAAATTTCCAGCTACTTGGTGAAACATTTAAGGCAGCGTTTCCAACTTTGTGCCCACCAGATGTGCTGGACTACAACCCTGCCAACCCCAGCCACTCTGTACCTCCTGCCTGGGGATGATGGAACATGTAGTTCAACAATCTGGAGGGCACCGTATTAAGGGAGGCTGATTCACAAATGGATCCTACACAAACTATTGCTAACTTTCTGCAGTGATGCAGCTGATGTGGCTTCTCCCTCATAATCCTAAGAATAACATCTCAGCAAGTGTCTTGAAAAGTCTGTTATAATTCCCTGATGGTGTAAGTAAAATTACCATTAAACCAGTTTAGTCACAATGCACTTCAGTGTTAGACTTCAGGGTTCTATTCTCCTACCACTCTGAACGAGACTGAACCCGTGACCACAGAAAACTACATGACAAGATGAAGGTAGTATGAGGCCAGCAATATTGCTGGCAAACTGAAAAAGGGATGCAGGAAGAAGAGGCTTCATAGCACTGGCTTACTGTCTTTATTGATTGTTCAGAGCCACAAGGTTCTGCCTCACACAGTTCTCTAAACCTCCTAAGCAAATATGCTTCAATCTATTATGAACACCTGCCTTTACTGTTCTGCACAGGCTTTGGACACTGTGTACTTTTATGATTGAACTGAAGAGTCCTGCTGCATCATCCTTTGCCCTTCTAGGGCTTTTCCTTCTTAACAAAGCTGCAACAGACAATATTTTTACTTTCAGTTATTTAACTTATTTTACTTTGCTGTCAACAAAATGCATGTATCATTGGCTGAAGTCAAAATGGATAACTGATACTTATTCAAGCAGGCAGGGGAAAAGACTACCTTATGCATAGAATGTTGCAAAATGCATTAGATGGTTATGGAATAGAATGTAACTAGTTTACAGGGAACAAAAAAGAATTACTTATATGGAAGAAGGAACCATGCAAATCCACTGGAACTGGGTTGCTACTATCTACTGAGCCACAATTCCACAGGACAGCAAGAAACAGTCATACCTATTTGAAAGCTGCCAGCTAGTAGAAGGACTAGAAAGTTACCTGGCAATTCAGACATACCCAGGAGGCACTGCGTTGTTATATCATGGGAACTTAACACAATGCAGGGACCTACCTCCAGAAGAGTGGCACTTCTTTGGCAGAAGAAAAGTGTATGGCCTCTGCTTGTAAGTCAGGTCAAATAAGTAAACCTAAAAATCAAATGAAGACAAACAAAATCTGCAGCTTGTACAAGCAGAAACAAGGAAAAGGAGGATGCAACCAAATGCAAAGAGAGAGGAGACCTTCAGTTGCACACTAGTATGCTTAGGTTCATAGTTTCAAATTGCTTTCATGTGGGGCATTATTATGCACATTCCAACTTTGTTACAGAGAATTAAAGTTCACGTTTGATTTGATCCACTAGGTCTCTGAAAATGTAAAGTTCTGAGCCCACAGTACTTACTAAAAATGCTTTCTGGGTGGAAAAATGATGATTATTTGAAATAAATTTTTGATCCATTACAAGGAGAAGGGAGTTCACATTACCCTGTATTTAGCTTTCTTACCTGCTCCCCTCCCATGTTGACCAAGAGTTCTGTACCATCAGGACTGAAAGTGACATATGTAGCTACCAGAACTCTCAGCCGGTTATTGTAGTCAGGTAATTTCACTGGAAGATGTCCTGCAGGAAGAGGAAGGAACCCAAATATAACTCATTTGTACAGCTGGGAAGCTACTGCAGCCTATCACTGGTAACAGTACACAATACTCTTTTAAGAAAAAAGAAATAGTATCTCATATTTTGCCAGTCTCTATGGCTTCCATTAGCAGTGAACAAAAAGGCTTATTCATTTAAACTACACATACAATCTGTAGTTCATAAGACCTATCTTTAGGATACCCAGTCTCAGTTACTTAAATGGATAGGCCCCTCTTAACTGAATGTGCCTTCTAAATGTATTAAGCAAATAGGGCTACAATCTGGACACCACAGCCAGTCATACCTGCTACATAGTACTGAGCTGCGCCATCAGGGAGAGGTTTCTGACGATCACAAAACGTATGGACTCCAGCTGTGGGATTCTGTTTCATTGTTTTCCTAGCCAAAAGAAAGGAAATCTTTGTGTGTAGTAGGCTTTGGTCCTCAAAATAACTTGTTTATACCCTCAGGTTACAGTAATTGAAAAATGTTGTTAGTAAGAGGAAGATATGGCCTAGCTGGGAATGGGGAGAATGCAATATTCTCAGCCATCTTGCAATGTAAATTCAAATATATCACCAAAACAAATTGAGGGGGGGGGGGGAATAGGGGGAAAAAATCTCTTCAGAAAAATAAAAAAAAAATTGGAAGTTGGGAGGGCAAATTTAGGCAAAGCGCCAGTTCTACTTCTTTCCCAGAGCTAGACACCATACTGACCGACTTCAATTTATGGCAATACTACGAATGAGAGGCCCCCAAGAACTACAGTAATCAACTGCTCTGCTCAAGTCTTGCAAACTCAGGACAGCAGCGGCTTCCTTAATTGAATCAATCAACCTAAGCGCTTCTCCACCACTACCGCTTTCCTAGAATGATACTGTACTAGGAAGAGGATGTGGAGGATGCAAAGTGGTGGCTGGACTATCAAAATAATTGCTCTTGTTGCCAACTGCAGCAAAAGCGCAACAAACAAAAACCCTTAGGAAAAATGAACAAAATTGTGTGATAATAACTACTAATGGTGGACTCTATCTCTCAGAAAATGTTGGTGAATTTTTTTTGCCCACAAATACGGTGGAAAATTTTTGAGAGGCCTTTTGTGCACAGTAACAGTATTCCTCCTTCTGCATGGAAGTTTAGTCCCACAAAGTAACCAACATCAGATTATTACCTGTGGTTGTGAATCATGCGTATATCATAGATCCGTACAAAAGGCCCACTGGCTCCAACTGCAAGGTAGTTATTGTCCTGGGGGTTGACAGTAAGACACTTTGCCTCCACAAGCTGTCCACAGTATTCTGTCAGATCTATCAGGACTTCTGAGTGTTTGCTGTTCTCTCGCAGGTCATACTGTCTAGAAGGAGGAAGGAAAGTGTCAGAAGACATCTGTAGTACAGAACAAACTAACAATGAGCATCATACTCTAAACAAGGGGTGACTGTGGAGAGTTGGTACCAGATACAGCAAAGAATTGGGCTTGATGGACCACAGATTTGACACAGTATATGGCAACATCAGACCGATAATAGAACATGGGACTGGTTTAATAGTTACAGCTTTCACCCAAGAACTGCAATTATGCCCAGTTTAGGAGCCAGTGTGGTGTAGTGGTTTGAGTGTTGGACTACGACTCTAGAAACCAGGATTCGATCCCTACTTTGTCATGAAACCCACTGGGTGACCTTGGGCAAGTCACTCTCTCTTAGGCTCAGGGAAAGGCAATGGAAAACTTCTTTTGAACAAATCTTGCCAAGAAAACCTGAAAGGTTTGCCTTAAAGTCGCCATAAGTTGGAAATGATTTGAAGGCACAAAACACACACACAAGAACTCTTAGCATCCTCACATAGTCAATGATCATAAGGGGTTCTTTGTAAGGAAAAGTATATTAGTTATTAAATCAAAAGAAGGCTAGTGTCCTCATACCTGACAAGCCCATCCTCTGCTGCACTCCAGAAGGTGTTGGGCCACATGGGGGCCGTGGCAATACGCTTGACTCTGTTCTTGTGATCACCAAACATATGGATGGTTTCTTTCACAGTCAAGTCATGGACATGCACCTTAGAATCGGCAGCCCCAGTGATGAGTATCCGATCCTCTGCATGTGGCAAGAACTACAGAAAACAGGCAAGATATTCAGTGTAGTCATCTCCCAACAGTGAGAACATATTCCCTAAAGATAAACAATCACGTCTCCTCTTACAGGTTCCTCACCTTGAGGAAGATATCAATAAGCATCCCATTTGATTAGCTTTGTAGCCAGGTCCCCAGTTATCACCTGCAATATCCTGAACATTTAGACATTTCTATAACAAAATAATTTTAGGTGCAGCACAAAAGAGAAGACCCAAGGGTCAAGGCAAATTTTTACAGTGTGCATTCAGACCATCTTTGTGGGGGTGCCCTGTTGATCTGACTGAACCCCATTTTCATCCTTGCTCTCACCTATACTATGTTTTCATAGGAAGCTGCATGCAAAGTCCACCAATGTACATAGCCCTCAGCTGCACAATATTGCATGAATCATGTCTAAGCACATGGCCTCTCTGTCTATGCACAGGGGTTCAGAGCAAGTCAGACTAGTTTTCTGGATTAATTGTGGCAGGGAAACTTAGAGAGGGGACATCAGCAGATCTCTGCACTTTCATCAAAGTGCTTCCTTCATTTCCCAGTCACAAAACAGTTTTTAAAAAAAAAAAACTATGTTCACAGTGAACCATTAAGGAAAGTGTACAAATAAAACACTGTAGGGTTTTTTAGGTTTTTTTTCTTTATATATTTAAATGTGAACCATATAAATTAAATTTAACTAGATGGAAGAGATGGCTGAATGCACTCAGATACATAGGGACATTGTATTTCTAATCTGGAGCCCAGTGGAAGTTATGTACAAGAATGAACTTGAGCTGGGCCTTGCTCCTAGTATGCGTACTGTTTATTCAGGCTGTACGTTACACCTACAGAATGGCTTATGTTCAAAATTAAAGAGAAGAAAAGCAGATGTAAGATAAAAACAATGGTAGACACTGCCTACAGAGAATATATCACTGAGGCTGTTGTACTTGAAGAGCACATGGCATCACATTATACACTGAGCACAAGCATCCTTTAAGTATCTTCCAAACGTGGAAAGAATATTTTAAATACATTTGATAACCTCAGCTTGCTCACACAGAGAAATGTAGGTATTTCGTATCTAGGAACACTTCACAACTTATTGCCTATATACCTATATCTGTTGTATCTGTGGCTCAACCAAGACATCTGGTAACAATTTTATTCTTCTTTACAGCTGGCAGGGAGTTTTTACTTCTGTGCTGATGCTAGCAGGAGAATCACACAACAAGCTCAGTTTGTCAATCTGAGCAGCCATTCTGTCTTTCCACTTTAGTCCTGGCTGTGCTTGATAAACAAGTCATGTGAGCTGGCTGCCACAAATCCACTGGCCAGGGAGCATGCAATCAGCTATGTGAGAAAATCCATGCAAACCATTGTGTGCCTGCCAGAAGTATATGCTCATGACAGCCAGTTCACACCACTACACATATTTGACTGGGAAATGAGGAAGCACACGACAGAGCAGCCGAAAAAAAATCCAGTTTTCAGTTCTGTGGAACTCTTTGAGCAGTGAGACTCTTATCAAGGTCACAGTGAAGCAGCTGTGTCAGACAGTGGATAATGGATGTTATTTAGAACAGCAGGGTGAGAGAGACAGAAGGATTTGCCTTATTGTGCACAATCCACAGGGATGTTTTTTCTGCATAACTCTCACTGAAATGGGCAAGAGCTATGCAAGAATACTGTCAGTTAGTGGTTAGGCATACCATTTGGATTATTTAATTCAGAACACATTGAGACCAGGGTAGGCAGTCTCAAGATACCAAGATATTTTTGACTGCGGTTCCCACAAGCTCCAGCCAACAAAGGCAATGGTCAGAGATTATGGAAGTTGTCATTCAAAATATCTAGAGGGTACCAAGTTGCCTACCTGTACACATGACTACACCTTGGATGAACTGGAAATTTCCGCAACAGTATCTGCTTTGCTACTCAGTTCTAGGGATAAAGGCCCCAAGTTGTCCCTTGACTTTTCTCTACTTAGTCCAAATCCTACTCACCTTGACAGAGAATATGTTTGCTGTGTGGCCTGTGTGCATGGAAAGGAGCTTCTTATGATGCAGGGGATCCCACACAATTGTGTGCTGATCATCAGAGCCAGAGGCAAGTAAGCTGAGAAGTCAAAGGAAACAGATAAGAAATATTTATTACAGTCACAGACCAGCATAAGAACAACAAAATACAGTATACAAAATACTATATACAATAACCAAACTCATAAAAGAAGTAGAATATATATGAAAATTCCATAATAATGATGATGATGATGATGATAATAATAATAATAATATACAAACACATATAATTATCTGCCAGAGGACAGCAAAGGAGACAGAGCATTATAGGTTTAGCTACATTAGCAGTTTACAAAAGGTGGCTGAAAATTATTCCACATCGATTTTCAGCTAGCCCCTAAGCACAACTGCCATTCTGACACTCTGGAATTGCAGAGGTATAGAGTACAATAAGGAAGTCAAGAGAAGCAGCTGACTCTACCATTTGTAGGCTAGGTTAAGAGATATGGGAAAAGTTAACCACAAATCATCAGAAGACAAATGACCATTCTACAAATGGTCCCCTTAGTCCAGTGAGCTTTCTACAAAGGATTGGTGGAGCTATCTATTCTTTTCTCAGGATACTTTTCTGCCACACAAAGACTTGAATCATGGATAAGAAATCAGAGGAAGTAGACGAAGTCTACAAAAGCTTATGTTTCAACTTCTTTTGCACAAGACCTTTTACATATGGATAAGAAACTTATTCTAACCTTATAACCAGGGCTGTACAATATATGCACATACTCATTTTTTCCCCTGCCTAAACTGAAGGACAAGATGGTACATCCTTCCATTCCATGCACAGAAGTCAAGTTCATTGGTCATTGAACCTCATTTCAACATTTAACAGGATCCTCCACCACAGTGCTACTCAGAGTGGTAGTCTGTGGACAGGTGCCAGTCACCAAGCTATCTGCTACTGGTCACTGAAAGCTTCCAGAAGAAAGAAACAAAAATATGATACCACTCCTGGGGACATAAGGAAAAAAGAACTACCAGTCCCCTACATCAGATAGCTTAGCACCATTCTGCCACATCTGAAACTAGCAGATCATCTAAGGTGGAGGGAAGGTAGGTCACATGACACATACACACAGCTTGTCCTCCAAAATCCTGCAGCTGTTCACTGCAATGGCCAAGAATGTATCCAGCTTACTTGGTAGAACCAGCCCTTCTTATAGCAGTTTTTTTAACATTTCCCACAGGAACCATCAACAGCCTTCAAAAAGTTCCCAGGTTGTACTCTATGGATCTCAATGTATATGGCTTTAAGGACAATATATTCAGTACATTCTTCCCCCACTGCCATAAACACTTCCTGAGTTAACACTGCATTCTGTGGAATAAAGTGTGAGAGCTCTCTTGCTGGATCAAATCAAGGTCTAACCCAGCATTCGATTTTTGATCATAACCAGCCAAAGACCTCTGACAACTCACAAGGTAAAGATAATGGCTTCTTCCAAACCAGTGCCTGGTAGAGATAAACTACGCTACAGATAGCAATATCACTTTGTTGCTATAGTGAATAGGTGTTGCTAGCTTCCAGTCACAATTTGAATACACCCAATCTTTGATTTTTAAATCCTTCTATTAAATATTATGACTGGAAGTGGAAAGACTACAGTAATGCACAATTTGGCTGAGCTGCAAGACAGGAAACTGGAAAGCGGTACTTTGTAAAAACAGTTAAGCATCCTGATTAATAAGGGACTCTAAATCCAACCTTGGATACATGCAGTCCATCAACCCTTACATTTTGAAGACATACTTACTTTCCCTTTTCATTCCACTCAAGACAGTTGACGCATCCAGTGTGACCCTAAACAAAGAAGAAAAAAAGTGTGATACAAATCCTACATTTGACACTGTTACAAGAGAAGGATAGAATTCCTTCCCTTAGTTTGGCTATGTCTAGTTTCTTATGTAATTCTCAGATCTTCTTCCTTGTTTTGGATTTTCAGTCAAGAGTATCCCAAGTTGCTTCCATTTACTCATTGGGTCTAATTACTAATATGTACTTCATGAATGAATCTTCATATTCAGAGTAACTTGGAAGAAATGGGAATTAAAAGTAATTAAAAGTAAACAGGCACAGAGAGAAGTGACAAAAACTCAAACCTAGGGCCAACTAGATATTACTTTTATTGCATTTAGTAACAACGTTTTATTTTTTATTTTGTATTAAAACTCTGATTACAAAGAAAAGAAATAGAAAGGAAACAGAAAAAAGGAGGAGGAATAAATAGGCAATAAACAAAGTTAGGCATATACACTATTGATAAGCTGACTATATTTTAAAGAATACATTTCCTTGTAGTTGATTTCTAAAACATACATGCTGATGCTAAGCAAAGCAGTAGTATCTTCCAACCACTGAACAAAGGATAGTGAATGTTTGTCACTCAAACCCTGGATACGTTTTTTGCAACAATAAAAGCATGCAGGCTCCACCAATGCTGGCCCTCAGTCAAATACTATGTTGCAGGAATAT